CGGGACGGGGCGGGGCGAGGCAGGACAGGGCGGCCGTTGGGCCGCTTGCCTGCGGGCGGAGGAGAGATGTAGGCCTCCCTGGGCGCCGCCCGGGTGGACCGCTGCGGCCTGGGCCGCGGGTGTGGGCAAGCTGGGCCCGCAGCCTCTGGCTTCCGCTCCGCTGCCGATCTGCGCCTCCGCTGAGGCCGAGCTTAGCTCGGAGCTGCGCTGTGGTTTCTGGCTGCTTTGCGGTGGGGCGTGGGCCGGCGTCCGTGCCGCACCCCAGGCCGGCGCGGCCCTCACACCCCGGAGGGCTCCGAGAAGGGGAGGCTGGGGGCGCGGAGGCTGCTTCCCGGGCCCAGGGCGTTTTTCCGTTGTAACGGAACCCCCAAACCATCGATATTTAAACAGGCTGCAAAGAGATCTGATAATACAGAGGTGCTTAGGCAGCAAGGTTTTTGTCGCTTTTAGCTGGTAGTGAAGGGGGGGCGATAAGAAAGCAAGGGTAGCTGAGCAGGCAAGAAAACGGGCAGGGTGAAAAGGCCTAGGCCATTTACTGCACGAACTTCCAACTGCTGAACTAATGATGCCTTAGGGAATTAATTCCCCACCCCACCCCACCCCCCCCCCCGCCCCGCCACCGGCTGCAGTGTTCATTTGCCCTTCATCAAATACAATGGGCCCACTTAGTGTATGAGTCTCAGTTCTATTCATTCTCATAGGTAATTGTTTCAGTAAAATAAAGCATAAAAAAGGTCATAATTACTGGCTCACACAGAACTTAGGGGTGCTCAGGGTTCCTTTAAATGGGCTGCCCTGTCCTTTTTAGGACAGACCTCCATGTAGACCCTGACGGAACCCTGCACTAGCATTTTAGTTGGAGAGGCCTGAAACTTTAATAGAAAATCAGAATTAAGACATTTTAAATGCTCATTTCTGTGATTTATTACAAACCAACATTAACTGTTAAAGTAGATTTTATTTTGCATTTTAAATAACCTTGGTGTATATCCAGGGTGTTTTCAAACTGTTGAAAGGTAATTTTTAAGAAAAAAGTTCCACATTCCTTTAACCTGGGCATTTCTCAATAAATTGGTGGTTTATAGAAGTTTATTTTCTAGCCAAAGAATTGACCTGTTATTGACACCACGGTAAGATCTCAAGGTACAACTTACACCAGTGGTAGTACCTGCCACAGATAGTAGTTGAGGAATCCTATAAAGGGTGGCAGATAAACCACCCTTGAAGCTTTGTTGTAATGTATAGTCCAGCCACTTGCCAGTTTTAAAGCTTCTCTCAAAGAGGGTGTAACTAAGTGGTGCTCTGCAAACTTCCACTGAAATAATCAAGCAGCAGAGTAAACCCGAGGCATGTTTTAGGCCACAGAATAAAAGTTGCCACAGTGACATTTTCTTTTTTATCATAATGATTAATATGAACTTTGCACTGTCCTCAAAGATCTGCACTTTTGTAATATAAAAATTATATAAAATATAAAATTTTATTCACCTTAACCCTCAAAGAAGGTGCTCCTTGTAAACACTGCATGTCCTGTGTACAGGGATATGCTTTCTCTGGCTTGAGAATTCCTGACATGGAGGTAGAAAGTGAAGGAAGCCTTCAAGGCTGATATGTGGCCTTGGCTTGGGAATGGCTCTGGAGTTGGAGACTCTTCTGCCATCTCTTCTTAACGGTCTTGGTGCTTCATCCCTAGACCCACTGACCTTTTCCTGAAGTAACTTTGAAATGTTGAGCAAGTGGTGTGGTTCCAGCCTGCCACGGTGAAAGAAGAACTGCTGGTCTGCTGGAGACTACCATAAATTTAAGAAGGCACATGGCCAAAATGGGAATTTATTACTTTTCCTACTTCCTTATGGTTGCAAAGCATGACTAAAAACCTAAAAGGGAATTGAGAATTTTTATTTTCCTGAAAAAAATAAACTGTAAACATTCTAAGCATTAGAACATTTTCTAAACCTTTTTTATGCCCGTTATAATTTTATTAGCAAATTAAACTTAAATAATTAAAATATTACTGTGAGTCAATAGTAAGTAAGAGTCAGTGTTTTACAATGCTAATATGCCAATACGGGATGAAGTCAGTAGCCATAGAGTACTTAGCAGGAGTTGGCAGTCCAAGACAGTTTAGGACCATTTTTTTCTTTTATAAGGCCAAGTTAGAGGCTTTATTTATGCTCAAATACATAATTCCCAGTTCACATGAATGAGGAGGTACGCATCATATGACTTTCTCACTTCAAGAAAGCTCAGTGTGCAAAGACAGGAATTTGTAAAGCATTTTTAGGTACCTAAGTACTTACAAAACAGCTCTTTTTTACAGAGGTACAGTCCCTTTAAATTGTGTGCCCACCTAAGTTCTGCATCAAGCAAGGATGAACTATCAGAATCATCTGAGAACAGTTTCAAAGTCTATTTGTGTTCTACATCACGCCTATCTGCTTAAATTCTCTGAGCTCCAAAGTGATTCTGAACAGGGGTTGTCTTAAGTGTGGTCTACACACTCTTCTGAGTCTCCAGGACCCCCTCAGGGTTCCATGAGGTCGAAACAATTTTCATAATAATGGTAAGATGTTATTGAAGTTCTTAGCTGTTGACAGAATGTGTCAACATTGGAAAGATCTGCTGCATAGCTCACTGAGCTGACATTTTCCAGTGACCAATGGGTGATGTTCAAAAAAACCATGCATGGGTAAAAGATCCTTTCAAAGTGCAAGATAGAGCAATGAATTTTACTGTAAGAGAGGAAAATTTCATTCGTTATGTACTTTTAGATCATACTGCTAACCTTTAAGAAACTACGACTTGTCAAGTTTTGGTCTATTATCAAAGAATACCCACAATTACCTGGAAAAGCTATTAATATATTTCTTTCTCCAACTACATATGTGGGTGAGGTTAGATTTTCTTCAATACTCAACCAAAACAGTTATCACAACAAAGTAAATGGAGGAGTAAATGCAGAATCCCATTGTCTTCTATTAAAGAGATTTGTAAAAATAGCAAATTAGATTAGGTTTTAAATTTTGCTGTGTGATCATATGTAGCTTTCCTTAAAGTTGATTATAGCATAATGCCTTTAGAATTATCACTTTAATATCAACTCCATTAGCCATAAATCTCTGACTTGGTTCTCCTTGACACAAACTGTCCCGGAACTGCCTCCTTCTGACCTTCACTTAGAAATTAAAAAATAATTCCAAAGTTAACATCAGCAGTCTGTAATTGAAAAGACAGTCTCTTACAAATCCAATGGTTTTCAAAGTCAAAATATGTGCTGTTGATTAGTTTATGTCCCACCTTTTTCTAATTACTATGGAAAAGGATTGACTAATGTTAAGAACAATACACCAACCTGTCACCACAACTAATTAAGACACATTTCCTAGCTTTGAGATACAATTTAAAAACATTAAAATTCAAATGACCAGCCTCATTCAGGTTTACTTTATAGGCCCTAAATATTAATTATTAATAATACTAATTGAAAAAGCACTTTTTTTCATCCTGGTAAGTGGTCTGAACTACTTGAAAGAATCAATCTTACTTGTGGGTAGTGCTTTTTCTGTTACTGATGTGTACTGTGCATTAAGTGTTCATTTATGCTTCACTTAAATAAAATTAAGGACTTTAGAGGACCCTTTTAGTGCCCTAGAAATGGGTTGTCTAAGTGGTATTTGGTATCTTAGGAGAGCTATTATCTTTAAAAAGTGAGTCATCAATTCCCAAAAGCTGTTTTGGTCTCCCCTTCTTATACTGAAAATGTAGGAGGAAGTTGGGTTGTCAAAATATAATGTGATTATATTTGTCCCATTCAACTGCACGTCCAAAAGATGAGTAACTTACACATAAGGATCAGCGCCACCGGGTGCCTGGGTGGCTCAGTTGGTTAAGCGACTGCCTTCAGCTCAGGTCATGATCCTGGAGTCCCGGGATC